GGGACCTAAGGGAAAGCCCTTGGTGTGTCTGCTCTGCAAGTTACAGAGATTGTTCCTGACTTTCATGATCACATTTCAAGTGTCTTGCCATGAACTGGAATACTTATAACTGGTCCATCTCTTTATTATTCTTGATGTTATGAATAAGAAGCTTGACTAGGCCAATATTCAAGCAGCAATCAATTTATTATTTAATATGGTAAAGTATGAGCAATACAGCGCTGGGTACAGTGGGGGAAGTTTTCCCTCCAACTGCACACCGATAATTGATGATTACAGGTATTTATAGGGGTACTCATCAGCTTTTTTCAGCAGTTTCTATTTCCAATCTTTTACTCATCAGCAATTTTTATTCCAAATTATTACATCACAATTCTATACACTATTGTGATTTTAATTTCTCAGGATGTATCTCAAAGGAGTATCCCCAGATGGTGATGGTCCAGTTTCCGAAAGAAGAAAGACTAATCCCATCTGGTGGGGTCCAGCTCCCCAGATGTGGGTCCACCTTTTAATTGCAGAGACTATAAATCTCATAACAGTGATGTCCAGCTTCCCTTTGGTGGAAACCATAAACCCTTGAGGTGATGTTCATCTTCCTTTCTCAAGCTGTTTTTCTCTGCTTCAATAAGGCGTGAGATAAGCATATTTCCTTTATATATATTCCAAAGCTATAGTTTCAAGGATACAAGTAATATTCTAAAATTATCCTTCAAAAGATTATTATTGCAGAGCTTTTTATGGATTAAATGCAAGCAAAAAGCAACATCTTTAACACCTTAATTCCAATGCTCCTAAATCAACCAGGGTTAATTGCAAACAAAAGATAAGTTCAAAGGCCTTTTTCCATGCTTTATTTTCCTCAGTTTTTATTAGAATTCACAGCTCTCCCATTGTTGGGGTTCACACATTTCACATTTACAACTACACACATCGCCTGTTTGTACCTGACACAAAACACAACTTTGTATTTCACATTGATTTAGCTCCTCAGTTGTAACTGCTAGTGGCTTGTGGCTTCCTCCACAAGGCATTACGGACTATGAGTGCTGATAATGAGCCTAATTAGGGTCCTATGATTTTTATGGCCTCAGCAGCATTGCCTTTGGTTGTCCCTGGAGTGAGGGAGATCAGAAGCTGCAGTCCATGAATCCCTTGCAGGCCTGAGGTGGAGGTGTGTGAACTGAATCCAAGAGTGATACCTGGTATTTTCACAGTGGTGTTACATCTTCAGAAGAATTATTATTTTCCTACTTCAGTAGTTTTCTCATGGGAATTATAAGGATTATTAGACAATTGTTTTATTTCTGCTTCAGAAGATGATGAGATTGTTGGTGCTTTCTGTACGGATGGGTGTTGGTGGTGTGCTTGACAGGTAAAGGTGGTATTACTGCACTGTTGCTTTTCAGTCTGATCTGGCATGAAACCATGAGGAGGGTGCACAACTCTTCCTATACCATTATTTCTGTTTTTCCTTTTGAAATTTGGATATTCATTGTGGGCAAGATACTTATTGCCCGGCTTGCCATTTCTTCTTCCTTAATAACGTGTCAGCATTGTAGCAATATTGGAAAAGCACCCTTCTGTTTGTTAATAAAAGGAGTTCATTAATATGCAAATTTAAACTGACATCATAGTCTCCTTTTGTTCCAGACACCTTGACTATAAAATAAAAACTCATATTAAAAACAGTGGTTCCTAATCTATGAGCTGTATCCTGCTTACTGGATTCAGTTCAGGAAATGTGCTAAAGCCCAGCCAAGTGCTGGCATTAAAAAATTCAGGAATTGAATTGGCTTTTTTGGAACACAAAAAGTGTATGAGTCTGCTTTTGTGTTTTTTTTCCTGGAGAAGCCCTCCACCTCTTCCTGAATGAATTGGTGTTAATTACACTTGCTTCCTCAGACTCTACCTCTGCTCAAACTCATCCTCTCCAGGCTGTCTTCCTTCTTTGAGATCTTTGGAATGGGGAACACCATTTTTCAGTGCCATTCTTAGACCTTCAGTGAAGTGAGTTTGTGTTCTTTACTCAATTTCATTATATTTTAATAGATACATTATTCTCCAGTTTTGTAATTAGAATGTGGTAGCATTATAAAACAGAAGCATTTCAATTCTGTAAAACTTGCACACAAGTTTTAAAATGCTTCTAATATACAGTAGAAAAGCACTAAAAATTCTAGGTACTTTGTAAAACATAGGAAAATAGATTTCAAATAACAAGGAAATTCTCATAAATTAGTGATAGGAGCTGCTGTAGCAAAATACTCTGCAATAAAGGGCATTCATTTAACACACATCACGAAAATCATATAGGGTGGTCTGAGAATTTACACTGCTTTGGTTGATAAGGAAGGAGAATTAATTTATTTCCTATGGACTGCTTTATTCTGTAAGTCACTGGTAAAACCAAAGAGAATGAAGATAATATCTTGCACCACAATAATTAGGAAAAGCTGCTTATGAGTAGCTGAAATAGCAGAGTGTAGCTTCTCCTGTGTTTTCTTGATTTGGTTGTGGTTTAATTAGATGATCTTCAGGATTTTGAAAACTGCTTTGTGTGTAACTGAGGAAACCCATTTTCTGTGTGAGCAGCCAATAATAACAACGCCATTGCAGAGTCCCTTTTCTGAGGAGCACTGACTAGAAAGACTGCCCCATGGTAGATGCCTGCTCCAGCTGAGTGCTCCTCAGTGTCCACAGGTCCTCAGAGTCCTCTCTGGCCCAGCTGGTGTTATGCAGAGTTTCAGACTGTTACATTTGTCTGGAACCTCTGGCTTCCTAACCTAAGAGTCCAGGGTTACAGTTGATCCAATGGAAGCTAAGGAAGTGGCTGGTGTCTTAACTCTCCCAACACTAAGCATAATTAAGTAAGGAAATTATAAGTAGGTAAGCATTGTTTGGGATTAAATAAAAATTAAGTATTTTAGAATTGCCAGTGAGAATTTTACAATTGTTACATTTGCCATGTGCATTACATCATTTGGTATTTGTGCAACTTCTTCAGAATATGCATGATCTTTGAACCATCCCCCAAAACCTGGGAAAATCTTGGATTTAAGTGCTGTGATTAATCTGTTGGGATTGTGGTTTGCTGTCCTGAAACATCTCACTGCAGGTGGTGGAAGGCATCTTAGCCTGTGTGAATGCCTGTCCTTGAGCAGCTTGTGATGAGCAATATTGATCATGTTGATTCAAGCATTTGTCAACAAAGCATTAACTTCTTTAGTGTGCTGTTACTATTCATAAATATTTGTGCCTCCTTGGGGGAATCCTAATTTCATTTGAAAAGTTGTGTACCCCAGTGACAAGGTTCAGTGTTATTACACATGGGCATAAAATACAGGATTAAAATACAGGATTGGAACAGTAGCTGCTGCTGTTGGTTGAGCTTGGGGGGTTGCAGCACTGCTGGGGCTGGCAGGCTCTGAATCTGTTAAAAAAATTAAATGTAGGAGACAAGGGAAAGAATGGGGGTGCTAATAGCATTGAAAGCCAAACTATGGGTTAACTCAGTCTCTTGTTTTGGTTGGTGGGATTTTTAGCCTGGCACATGGGTAGTTTGGAAAGGACTGTCATCAGGAAATGCTTGTGGCAAAACTGTGTGTGTTCCACACCCTGAGGCCAAGAGAAAGTTCTTTTCACCTCACTCTTGTCACGTGCGTTTATTCTGGTAATGATTTACTCTGGGCAGAGTACACAGCTCATAACTTGGTGAATATAAAAGACTAATCTCGACAATATACAAAGATAATGGGGTGTAGCTGGATTTGACTGTGCCCACGTCTACAAAGTTCTTAGTGTCTTTAAATTCTAAGGTTTAAAGATCATGTTCCTAAGTGACTGTTAAGAAATAGATGAGCTAAAAGCTGGAGAAATGCAAATCCTCCTCTGATCTAACCCTTCTGCCTAGCTGGGCCATTTGAACCCTCTGTTGCACTTCACAGTTACTGCTGCGGAGACAAAGTTTACAAAGCACCGTTGGTGGAGTTCTGGTTTTCATGGCAGATCTTCTTACCCTGTCTTCTTTAGGTTTTCCTTACATTTTGCAGCTTATTCTTTTATTCTCTCTTCTGCTTCCTCCCTTCTGACTTCTCTCTGATGTTTTTCTTTTTCCTTCCCATCTTCCCTGCCTTGCCTGTGTGCACAGGATGGAGTTCAAGATCTCCTACAGTGGAGGAGGAAGCTGCTTTTCCTTGTGGTGCTAAAAGGAGTTAATCTAAAAGTGGCTTCCCAGCATGTTCATGCAACAGCCTGTTGGTGATTAACAGGCTGCCCACCTGGTGTGGTCAAAGTTTGTCTGCCTCATAGTAAGGTAGGAGGGTGAGAATTATAAATTCTGCAGGTCAGCTTGGTGCTGAACCACTTGTCCTTGCATTTGCTATGAAAACACACAATGCAATTTGCCTCTTCCCATTCCAGCTGCCTTACAAGCCCTGAAGAGAAAAAAGAGGTATGAGAAACAGTTGAATCAAATTGATGGGACACTTTCAACCATTGAGTTCCAGAGAGAGGCATTGGAAAATTCCCACACCAACACAGAAGTGCTCAAGAATATGGGTTATGCTGCACAAGCTATGAAAAAAGTACATGAAAATATGTAAGTGTTTTCTAGTAGCTTCCAAGTTGAACTTACTAACCACTTTCAAATTATTCCATTACTACAGACTGTTGTATCAAGTTATAGTTTTGACTTCATTTTTAGTTCAGGCATTGAATGTCAGGAATGCTGTTAGTGCTACAGTGTTATATTTGGCAGAGAAATATCTTTTCCTAACAGTAAATCTAGAAGGAAGTTCACTTAACGGGTGAGATCTGTTTTTTTCAGTCTGTCTTGGCAGTGGAGAATGGCCTCTGCCCTTGGTTTGTCTAGAAGAAAATCTAGTCATAGAAACTATGTGGACACTTTTCCTCAGAATCCATAAGCTGGACTGTGGGACTCAAAGTACTAATTAAATGCACCTCTTTTCCCCACCACGCCCCCCAAAAATTCTTTTTTTTTCTTTTTTTTTTTTTTGTTTGTCCTATATTGTTTCAAGGGGTGTTTTTCTGCCTGAATAAACAGAGTTAAATCAGAAGGGTTGTTCTGGGAGAAATAAACAGGAACTGAAACAATAACGAAGTTAACAATAAAGGGAAACCTTTAAATGGGGTACAATTCTGTTAAGTTCTCCCTAGTTCTGGTGAAAGCTTAACATCAAAAAAGATCCATAAAATCATAGAATAGTTTGGGTTCAAAGAGACATTTAAAGATAATCCTGTCCAAACACCCTGCAGTGAAGAGGAACATCTTCAACTAGATCAGGTTGCTCAGAGTCCATCCAACCTGACCTTGGATGTTTCTAGTGATGGGACATCCAGCATTTCTGGGCAACCTGTGCTGGCTGGCACTCCACCACCCTCATTGTAAAAAGCTTCTTCCTTGAATCAAATCTAAATTGCCCCTCTTTTGGATTAAAGCTGTTACCCTCTGCCCTTCACAACAAGCCATGTAAGTGTGTATCCCCATCTTTCTTATAAAGCCCCTTCAAGTACCAAAAGGCCTGTAAAGATGCTGACCTGGGGGATCTGCCCATGGGCTGTGACTGGCTGGCAGAGGTGTGAGGAGCACAGAGAGGGAGAGACACACTCTGCTGCAGTTTGGCTTTTGTTTTAACCCCAGCATGGAAGTAGCTGGACTGGGTGTGGGTGAGGAAAATTATTCCTCGTGAATTCCGCTGTTTGTAGAGTCATGGGCATAAAAAGAAAACAGGGTCTGTTCAAGTGAGTGTGTTCTGTAGGATTTGAATGATACAGCTTTTAAAAAATGTTTCCATGTTACCTTGCCAGGGATTTGAACAAAATCGATGATTTGATGCAAGATATCACTGAACAGCAAGATGTTGCCCAGGAAATTTCAGATGCTATCTCAAACCGAGCCACCTTTGGTGATGAGTTTGATGAGGTTAGTACTTCAGGCCTGTGAGTTTTAACTCCATAGTTTTTCTGCTGTGCAGTGCTTTGTTTCTCAAGAAGTATGGATGTGAAATTCCTTGGTTCTAGCTTACCCTATCTAGGACAATTGTATAATTTTATTATAAATATAAAAGTTAAATAAAATAATTATATATAAAATAAATTATATATAATTTATTATAAATATAAAAGTTAAATAAAATAATTATATGTAAGACATATAATGTACTAAATCAAAATCTGTAAATTTAAAAATAGAAAAAAAAATTTATTTTTGTATAAATTTTAAGAAAAGCCTTTTAACTGCATTCCTGTAGTTATTGTTCTCATTTGAGCCTCGGACGAAGGTCACTAAAATATGTAATTTGTACTACTCCAGGTGGACACTGAAACATGTAATTTTCTGTTGCTCAAAATAGACATCCGTTTGACTTAAGTGCATGTCCCTATGTCATGGACAGACTGCTCGTCATAGTTCTGAATATTTGGACCATTTCTTTAAGGTCATTTTTAGTGCTTTGAGATGCAGGTTCTTTTACCTGTTGCCCAGACCACAGAAGTAGCTCTGATAGGTAGAAGTAATACCTCTTGGAGGCAAAAAGGCTTCATTCTAATGATCTTTTCTCCTGAAAGCCCCCCAAGGCATTTAGGACCTTCTCAAAATTTTTTGCAGTAGCTTTCATCCTGTGCTCCCAGATTTGATTTTGTACATCTAAACAGGATATAATTTATTTCTGATCCAACCATAGTTGAGGATTCAAGGGTCAAGGTTGCTCAAAATTCTTGTAATCTGCAGAGATGGGTGTCAAGCTCAATATCACAACTACTTTTGTTTTGTTTTTCAATTTTGTTTCAAAATGGCCAAGCACTGAGAATCATTTGAAGAATGTCCTGAATACTCAAACCATTCCCTGTATTCCCAACTAATTTGTTCCTATGTTCCCAAATGGACAGCAAAGGAAAATATGAAGGCTATATTGCACATATTTGCTTGACTGGGAGGAAGAGGAAGTTTCATTCAACAGTTCTAATTTGTTGAAAATAATAATGATTCTTTGTATTTTGTTCCCATTACCTGTTTTCCTGTATTTCCCCTTTGAATGTAAATAGACTTTCCAAGAAACATTTAGGCATTACTGGCACAAGCAATGGGATTTGGCCTGAGCTTCAAACAATTGAAAAATATCCTCCCACCCCAAACAGCTGTACAGTGTCTTACTTTTCAACAGTGCTTACCTTTTTGGAGTCTAGGCTTAGTAAGCATGTTGTAGATTGACCTGGAAGTTCCTAAGGGATACCAGCTGAAGCTGATGTGCATTGTTCCTGTTTGGGAAATAAGGCCCTGTCACTCGGAGCATCCTTGTACCAGCTTTTGGTAGGAGTCTAATACTTTGAGCCCTTGGCAGTAACTGGGAAACCTGATTTGCAGGCTACTGCACCTTAAGAGTGCTAGAATCAATGACTGGGATATAAGCTGGTTAGTGTTAAAGGGTAAAATTTAATTTAATTTTTTTAAGGATGTTTTTTCCATGCATTTGTATGCATTTTCTGTTCACATATGTGCCGTGGCTGTAAGGAGACCATGGAAGCATGTGATTTCTCCTGCTCCAGGCAGGCAAAGCATCATTAGAGTTCCTTCTCCCTGGGTTGGCATAGTGTATGTTTGCCTTAAATTATAAAACCATGAGAAAGTAAATGCAGGTGTAAAGTCCTGTGGTGGCTATGCAACTATCATTTTAACTTCTACACTGGTGATAAACAATGTATAAATGTGTAGGCAAAGCCCATTTCAGTATCTAATAGCTCTTACTTTACTACTTTTTTGACATTTACCCCACCCCTCTCCCATTGTTTTTGCCCATTGCTTCTTTTAAACCATTGTATCAACGTGGCAAAGGTCTGTTTCTCCATGTATATGTAGCATTTAGCATCCTTTCTTTGGGAAACTTCAGCTGAGGAATAAGTTCCTTGCTTTTTAAAAAGCATACAGGCTTTTTATTTTTAGCATTGTACAAGTGGATTAGATCACTGTCCAAATCAGCCTCTGCACCTAAAAGCCCACGAGTGCTGCATGCTTCAAGAGTGAATAACAGGACCCAGGAGGACAGTTTTGGTTCCAGTGCTGCTTTGAAATCACGTATAATCCTGGACTTACATGAGAGGGCTGAGCATAATGTTTAGTCACAATCTGCCTTATAACCAGTGGAAGATGTTTGCCTTTTAAAATAGGAGAAATGGCACATTAAAATTAGAATCCATTGAAGAGTACAGGCTGTAGATTAGGAACAAACCTGAGGACAACAGAGAGACTTTTTACTCCCGTATTTGACTTTTTAGCATGTACTGTACTGCTGTTAGTTTTAAGTTTATTTCTTGTCCCATTTCTAACTTTCATTGTCCTATTTTCAGTGTTCAGTTTGCCCATACTTAGTAAAAACTGCACATTTAATATGCTGTTTCTTGATATGTTCTTTCAGGTGTAAACTGTTTTTTAGTAGTATTTTGCTTCACAGTGGTTTAATGTGCTCTTGTGTGTAATCACTGTCAGAATTTGTAAATAATGTTTTCTTTTAATTTAGGATGAGTTGATGGCAGAATTAGAAGAACTGGAGCAAGAAGAACTGAACAAGGGAATGAGAGATGTCAGGTTGCCAAGTGTTCCGTCCACATCGCTGCCTTCTCGCCCTGGTAAAGTGCCTGCTTGCCATTTTACATTTCTCATGATTAAGCCATGCTGGGAAAAAGGGGAGAGGAAGAGAGGGTTTCAGATATGTATTTAACTCTGTTATAACTTTTCAAATGTTATAAATTCCTTTTCCTATTTTTGTATCTGCTTAACAGAAAAAGCAGAGTGGGATTCCATTTTGCTCTGTGAAAGCATTTAGGACCAAATTCTCTGTAGATTTGGGGTGACAAACTTGGGGAACTTGACCTTGCAAATATACTGATGAGTCTCCTACTCATTGGAGTCTCCTCCAACCTTGAGGACTGATCTTTTTTGCCTTTTTTTTTCTTATTTTTGGCAATTAAATCCTTAGTCTCTTTCAATTAGAGTCTGACCTAGATTCCAAATGTTTATGTCATAAAGATCCAGCTTTGCAGGGTAGTGGTTTGATATTTTCCACTGGAATTTTAATTAGAAATGAAGGAGGCATGGGGAAGTGCATATTTAAAGACATAGGTTCCTTCCTTTGCTTTCTTTGTACTGAACAGCTTATTCCTGGTATAAGCTGTAGTTTGATTTTTCTGTAGTTCCTCTGTGTTTATTTTGAATTCAGCCAGAGGCAGTCAACTTTTACTACACTTTTCTCTGTCAGTTGAAAGACTTGCTGTGTACTGACATTAGTAAAAGAATATAAATACTTGATGGTAAGGACAGCACACATGTGACACAGGTGGCTTATGGTTTCTGCTACAGAACAGGTTACCCAGACCAGCTCAACTCAGATACTATGATATGTGTTTTGGCAGATGACACTTAGATCCTGAGAAGCAGTTTAAAATGTTCAGGCTGAGACTGTGGCCTCATTACTGAATTCAGCTGCAGAACAGCTAGTAAAAAAAAAAAGGGATTTAGAAAAACAGTGAATATTCAGTCTGGCCAATTATGATGAAGAACATACATACATTGTCATACATTGTCTTCCAGATCTAGCTGTGCCAGTTGACATTTTTATTAAACCCAGACTATTTCCATGTGCTTCTCACTATTTTAATTTTCTACATCCATCTGTATGGCTGCTTTAGGCAAGATGAGCTGGTTACAATTATATAGTTCAAGGCTGTGAAAAACTGGTTTATGTTTCCTGCTTACTGTTACACAGCAACAGCAAAGTCAGACCAGTTGATGGATTTATAATGCTTCTAATTGGACACGCATGTTGATTTTGAAGATGAGGAAACTGCAGTGAAGCAAGGCATAGTGACCCTCCCCAGTCACACAGTGAACCTGTGACTCTTGCAGAAGAGGGACTGAAGCTGTGGTCCCCCAAGTGCTTCTCCCACCCCAGTCCCTGAAGGTGGTGGTTGCAGTTCCCTCGAGACAGCGGCTCCTGGCCCCATGGCTGCCTCAGGTGGGAGCCAGCTGGCTGCTCTAAGGTGCACAGGAGGGTGTTGGACCCACCAACAGTGTTCACTGGTGGGTGGAGAGATGCCAGTCCTGATGTGCACAGCCCACAAATGGAGTAGGCAGCCTGAGGCTGAACCTTGGCTCTTGGGCATCTAGTTTGCAGGTCAGCAAATGAAGACAGTTTGGGTGAGGTCTTAGTGTAGTGAATGCAGATGATGTGGGATAGGAGACTTGGGTGCGAAGTGTGTGTAGGACCTGATACAGAGCTGGGAGTTGTTGTTGTAGTGACCACAGCAGTTAACTGATGTCACCTGAGCAAAGCAAGTTCAGGAATGTCTTTCTCCATTTAATAAATTACCCCACCCATTAAAATGGGGTGAGTTCATCCAGAGACTTGCATGTGCAGAACCTCTCAGCACTATTTGGAAAGGTAGCAGGATGTGCACCTGGCCAGGATAGGTCACTTTTCTTGTTTACATGGTAGTGAGAGAAATGACAGCATTCTTGTGGGCCTTTTCTGGCTGTGACAACCTTTAGAAATGAAACATTTTTTCTGTGTCTTTCAGTAGGAGTGACATCAGACCTATATTGTGAACTTCAGGGCTCTATACAAAATAATGATGGGGCAAAATAGTCACATCTCTTATGGGCTTCATTCCTACATAACTTATGTTCAGCTTCCTACTCAGTAAATTGGTCTGAGCTCTTCAAACAGAAAAGCACTATGCAGGTCCTCATGCTAACAGATAGAATGGTTCTGATTGTTACATTAGTTTATGGTTATTGTCTCTTTATCTGCAGCAACAACCAGGAAAAGAGCAGAGGATGAAGATGAAATGAAGAAACTGGCTGCCTGGGCTTCATAAGATCATGGTCTTTCTATAACACCAAACATTACAGTGCAGAATGTAAGGAGCTGTACTGCTGTTTTATAACCATACTGATGGTGGTTGCATTTCATACAGGCTGGGGTTTTTTATGGCACATCTTGCCGAGACTCATGTTACTGCTATATTACAAAATTAGCTTAAAAACCAGAATTAAATAGTTGCCTAAACCTTCAGGCATAATTTTTTTTCAGCCTCGTCAAGAGATTTGTTTTATTATTAGTATCAGTTTTTAATAGGCACTATCTTACCATATCTCTTGGTTTGTAGAACCCACGTGCCTCACTTATGCTCAAAGCTGGATTCATTTTTGAAATGAGAAAGTTAAGTAAATCATCAGGGTTCTATAACTAGAGGGTTTTTTTGGTTCAGACTATTTAAATATTAGCAAAACAGCTTAATACGCGTCCTCACTTGCAAGTTCTTTGAGCCCAAGAACTAATAACTATTCATTTGGACATGAAGATTCAAACAGTCTGCCTGGAGCAACTTAGGGTGTCCTAGATACTAAGAGGAAGTTCTTCTGTAGGCTTATTGAAGTGGAATGTGTTATTTGTTTTAACTGGCCTAAATGTCCCATGCACTTCTATAGGTCAACTTGAATTTATTTTGGACTATTTCTGACTAGGTTACAGAATTACAGTGATCGAGGAAAGGAAAATTAACAACACATTTTTAGTTACACAATTTCAAAATAGCTTTAATTTTTGAGCATCTGGTTCTTTTCTCTTACTCAGTTTGTGAATTGAAATATTACCAGTGTGTTGTATTTGCAGGGCCTTTTTAAACCCTGGTTAAAAGCTGATTCTGGCTTACTTGTAAAGTTGGTGTGTTACTGTCCAGCTGACCGTGTTTTAGCCTAAGGAAAAAATGCCACTCTTGAGTGCTAAGCTACTACATATATGGAGAGATGGCTGTTCAAATACAGCCCAAAAATTAAATAGGCTGCTTTGTATTAACAAAGTATTAAATAAGTCTTAAACTGTATGCTAGTAGCCTGCTGTCAATCACAAGGAAATCGTAGAACAGTGTGGAGTTCCTAGGGGTGTAGGAAGCAGAGTCCTTCATCTAGGTTTCTTGTTTTCAAATTAATTTAAATTTAGTGATGACTGAACCACCTGGGGAATAGTGGTGGACTTGGTTTCTGTAGATCTTTAGCGACAGAAGACTGACCCCTTCTCCTGCACGCTTCAGTAACCTTCAGCTTAGTGGGTTTTAGGTTAAGTATAAGCAAATACATGTTTCTAGACATGGTCTGCTCAGAGCCTTTCAAGTTGAGCCCCATGGATGAAGCCCAAGATGTATAAACCCTTTGGAGAGATTGAATTTTTCAGGACTTTCATTCTCTGTGGAGGAATTGCTTTTGGATTGTATCTGTATGAGAGCTGAATCAAGCCTTGCCACTTCAGATAATTTTCTTACTGGATAAAACAGGTTGTGTTTATTCTGTCCTAAAATTTGGAGGTACCAAGAAAATTGTCCCATTTTGTTGAGAGTAGAGGAAATCTGGAATTATTTAATTTTTGTTTTAAATACAAAATAAAACAGGAAAAAAAAAAAAAGAAAGACACTGCTGCCTTAAATTTAAAAATAAATTTTGAACTCTCAAGGAGAAAGAAACCAAATACTAACAAAATGCTACTTGGTTTTAACGCTTGCTGAAATTCAGCATGAGATGCTACCTGAAAGCAGGAATATTTAGTAAAATAGCAAATATTCATAGTTATTAGAAATCCATTTACTAACCGTTCTGGCTTGAATCCTGTGTTCAAGGTGTGCAGTTTATGCAGGTCTCTGAGTTGTGTACAGAACATTTTAACACACGCTGGGGGTGTGACTATGCAAGGCTGGCAGTGTGCATGTGGACACTTCTGGCATTTCTAAATATGAGGCGAAGCCAACACAGTCCCATAGTTAGTTTGGAAAAGCTGGCTCCCAGCCTCTGTTCTTGTTTGCATTAGTAGTTTAACAATGCTTAGCTCTTATGTAGGTAGCACTTGGCATATTCAAAGTGCTCTACAACCTAATGGGTGTCTAAGCTTCCATTTTGGAACTAAAGTGACTGCCTGTCTGCTTTGGAAAATGTAGGGCTGCTGTTTTTGAATAAGAACTTTCCATGCGAGCACCCCTCACTGGAGGCAAAATAATCCTGTAGAGATCTTCTCCTTTGCAAACCAGCATTTGACTGCTGACCACCAGCAATGTTTTGGCCCATTGCTGACCCTGAAGAGGCTTCAGGTGTGTTCAGCTTATTAATGTTCAGACCAAGCACTTTAAAAACAAGACTTTTGAAAGGTGAAGAAATGAAACTGAATATTCAGATGAGCTGCTCTGAAAGCTTGTGTATAGTCGTGAAAAACAGACTCATGTACCAGTTCACAGGCCAGGATGAGAGGTTGGTGAAATTATACTCAGAAACACTGTAGTGATGTACAGAAAGGAAAATGCTCCCTGGACCTCCGTAACTGGAGTGTTTGTTGCCATATATTTTTTTTTACACCAGTTTTCTTCAAGGGAAAAGGGTTGTAGGGATTTAATTCAGCTGAGGGAGTGGCTCTTTCCTGTGTAAATTCAGATAACAGTGGGACAAATGGCTCTTTCTTACTGAACATATGCCTCTCTTCATGCCAAGATGGTATTTGTTTAGTGTGTAAGCAGTTGAGAGTGAATAGTGTCAATGTGTTATTGTAAATGTACCCTATTAACTGGAACATATTTTACAGGAGGACTGTGCAGCAGATGGTGTACTATAACTGACTTCCTTTCTTGTTGCTTATTTATTCTGGGATTGTTTTTTTTCTCCTAACAAGCTTAGACATTTTTAGCCTGGATAACTTTAAAAAGAGGGAAAAATATTAACAAAAAGTAAATATAGTTCATGTATGTATATATATATATACACACTGTAAATAAATATTTTGGTGTCATGTTTGTGTTACGTGATTTTATTAAATTTCTTTTCCTATCACGCAAAACTGTAAGTACCCTCCTTATATTGTCATTAGGGTATAGTGCTATTTTGAAGGATATGAGAATATTCTGAAACATTTTTTGATGTATTAATCTTTCAGCAGACAGTTACAGTTCAAGAATTCTTTGAAGTTGATTTGGTTTAAAAAACATCCAACTAAAAACCCCACCCCAGTGTAAGCTGTGGTGTTTGGGCTGCATTCCTTCACATTTAACCATGGTGTTGCAAGAATTTTTTTAAATTTAATATATCCAAAGCACCTCCCTCTCATCCCCTCTGACCTGAAGATCCTATCATTATTCCAGAAATATGTGTTTTTCACTTTCCAGGCCTTACTTGAAAGGAAGAATGATCAGGTCTTTTAAAAATAAAAAAGAAAAAAATATGATAGGCAAGGATGAAGACAAATCCAGAAGGCATTTTTTTCATTCACCTTATTAGAATCTCTTTAAAGTCTGTGTGTGTAGTGTCTCACCTTTACTGTACACACACATATATTTACATGTATGTTTGAAGTGTTGGAGCAGTGATTTAGGACCACCATTCATTATCTGGTGTGGAAAGGTTTCAATTGCTTGGGCAGCTTCTCTTTTCCTCTTTGTGAGTCCTAAGGGCTTTGTCACAAAATGCCAAGGAAGTGCTGTGGAACAAGCACTGCTATCTACAGCTGTGGGGGGTGGAAGAACAGGATGAGTGTGCAGGGGAAATATTTAGAAAATCTCACTGTCTTTCATGATGTAGAGCTTATATTATTTTAATTATGTCATTTTTTTAGAAACATAAGGAGAAAAATTTAGTCTCAAAAATTATTTAGCAGCACATCTTAAGAATTACAAGTAGTATAATTTCAGGTAGCTGTCATATTTTCTCACATCTGTCCCCATTGCAGAGGGGGACCTTCATAGCACTGTTGAGTCAGGTGTATATTGTGTAGGAAAAGTATAGCTGCTTTATGTGACCTTGATCGTAGTTTAAATGGTTCATTTTGTTATCAGCATGTGATTACCTGGTCACCACTACACTCTTGGGATCAATATTAGATAATGTAGTTATGAAATGCTAATATGTGCCTAGAAATTTCTGAACAGCCTTGTATTCCTAAGATGACTGTGTCTGGCAGGGTCACAGAGCCCCTGTGCTGCCCTGCTCTCTCCTCTCCTGCACACTACACTTGTGTTTTCATGTTTTGCTTGTATGTATGCTGGCTGACTTTTCCCCCTGCAGCTAGAAGTCTTCTGATAATTCCCTGGTTGCTGTTTACTATAGTTGACTGTCAAATTCCTCTTTACCAAGATAAACTTTGGGCAAATACCATCTTGGGGAGTTTGGGCTTGACACTTACGCAGCCCCTTACAGCCTGTGCTGGCTCAGCAGCCACTGCTACCCAGGCTGTTTAGGGCAGCAGGGCAGTGTAGGTGCCCCTCAGCTGGCTTTCTCAAAGGACAGGCATCCAGCTCTCCTAGACTGAAAGGCAAGTTAAGGATCTGTGATTTGAGTTCTCTGTGATGTCTCTCTTAAGAGTTTGTACTCTGTCTGAGCAGTCAATGTACTGACCAGTGCAGTCATTTAATCAAATAGGTGGTATTGGATTAAATACCTGTTGTCTGAGCTGGTGGTCTGCTCCCATGGAACTGGTGTCAGTGCCTCCCATTCCCATTGCTGTGACATCAGCTTTCACCATGTAAGTCTTATGGGGAAAGGAGTCTTTTGTGGGTTCAAACAGGATTTACATGGACACCCCAACTCTACCCTGAGTTTAGCACCCTGTCCTCAAAAAATTAAACTTGCACTTTAGGAGTAAAGGGAGTGTTCAGATACATTTAATTTATAAATATATCCAGCTTTCTATCTTAGCTTTACTTTTGTACTCAGCTTACTAAAGAGACCTTGGTGCAGCTACTGAACAAACTAAGCTCAGCTGGGACTGCAGATGTATAGGCGTGTGTAGGGTTGTTGTATTACCCCATAGCCACCTATTGTCTGTACCCTGTGTGTTTATGGGGTGTTGGAGTGCCTGGTGTGGCTGCTTTGCTGCCCAGCAGCAGTGGTGAGTCCATCAGCGCCAGGGCTGGGACTTTGCAGACCTCCAGGAGGAGCTCTGGGTTCAGCATACAGCAAGAAACTCCAGCAGGCTGGAAAGCTGCAGTTGTCTCACAGGACCTGATTTCAGTCTTACTGCTTATGCTGGAGGAAATGGTCTGCCTGCAAGTGCTGCTCAAACACCAGGGGTGAAATCCTCCCACTCTTCTCATTCCTGTCACAAATACCCACTTGTTCAGAGTTAAAATGCTCTTTTAAATACTAACCCACCTTCTTGGCTGCTTCTCTGGCTTCTTTTTTGTTCTCTTCCCCTGTCTATGGCCACCTTGGCACCCAGATTTGTTCCCTGCTCTGGACTAATGCAGGCGCTCAGAAGCAGATCATCGTGCAGCAGTTTACCAGCCCCCTCTCTACACAATCAGGCCAGGACAAAGAGCTAAGACCAACCTCAAAGGTTTAAGTCTGTTAAAAATACTCATTTTGAAAAAGTTTAATACTGGGTCAGTGAATTGTGCCTTGCAGTGACCAGCTGCAAGCTGGATGTCACTGGAACACATTGAGGACACTGAACTGCAAGAGGGATTCCTCAGTCAAGCCTGTCTCCCAGACCCTGCGAGGGTTCAGAGCACGTCAGTCATTGTGAGGTAATGTCAGTGCTGCTTTGGGTTAGGGGGAGCATGTGGGACATGTCTACAGGCAGGTATTGCAGCGCTGGTTTTGAGGCTGTTGATGTTCATGTGAAAGCCACCACTTTGATTTATTGAGGATTTGGATCTCAAAAGGTAGCATTACCAAGGAGAGGGTTTATTTGGCACAGGAAATTCCATCTGAACTGACACCCTCTTACAGCTGTAATGCAGTTTCAGAAGTTCATAGATAAACATAGGTTGGAGATACTACCTTGCACTTTCTCAGGTTAAAACCTTCAGCTCCCAATGCTTTGCAAGCAGTCAGCAAAATATTTTAGTCAACTCAGTTTACTGAGCTAGGAAAAAAAAAATCCCCCTGTGTGAACCAAGTAGTCTGGAAAAGGTTTGTAACAGCACTAATGTGAGAACAGATCTTATTGTATTGTAGCAGACAATTGTGGTTGAACACAAAGGACTAAATTTTATAAAGAAGACAATAGGAGAGAAAAAATGATGGGGGAAAATGATAACAAGTTGAGACACTAATTTATGTAGCCTGAGAATCTGTCTAGAGCACATATTGTGTCTGAATAAACTGAAATCTGAGTCAACAGCTGCTACACCAGAGCAGAGCATAGAAGCCTCTTTGTTGAGAGAAGAGATCTTGTCCTGTGACCTTTGGATAATCGTGAGTCTTGTGTAACGCACGTCCTTTGAAAAGTAAAATCAGTTGAGATGTTCTTTCCGTGGTTTTCTAGACTCAGATGTGAAACTTGTCTCACAGAGGATGCCCCTAGTGAACTACAGCATGCTGACAACAGAAATAGATGAAAGCAATTATTTGCACATTCTGTTTCTCAGGTTAAGTCACAGCAAAGTTGAGCTGAATTTTTGATTGTTTTATGCTCTTTCATCATCCATT